CTTCCCATGGTCATCTATGATTTATCATGTTACCATTCAGGGCTTTAAAAGTTAAAAAAATTATAAAACAAAATAAAACAAAAAGTCCACCACACCCTGCAAAAAAAAACCCAAACACCTCATCACTGTAAAACCAGTGCAGAACAAAAAAAACCCAGAAGCACAAAAAAGAGAAAATCCAATGGTGCTTCAGGTCCAGTTGCTCCAATATCTATATCTCTGAAACCAAACAGTACATTTGAAGTTATCCATTGAAGGATTCCCTTCTCAGCTGCATGTGGTACATATGCAATAAAGCATACAGGTAAAACTAACCCATTGCAGAAATATATTAGCTCTTGTGCAGTTACACCAACAGCATAGTAATGTTTACTTAGTTCAGCATATTAATCCTTTAGTTGCTTGATTCAAAAAGAAATTTTAGAAGTTTGGTCAAATTTATTTGGTCAAATACTTCAGGCCGAGTGTTTTGTTACATTAACAGAAAAAGCTGTTTGACAAATTGGAAAGAAAAATGCCTATTTTCCCAATTCAAAGATAGTTCAGTTGTTTAACTGAGCATCTTCTTCAGACCTTCACAGAAACATATCTGCTATCACTGCAGTGTGATCCAGTCTCTCCTCTGAGCATCATATACTGTTCCCTTCAAGATCTCCAGAAAGCCTACCCGCCTACAGTGTTATAGGTCCTGACATTTCCACAAAGAGACTGTTCTCCAGACTAACAGATTGGGCAATGGGTTAGTTTCAATTGCCTGGATTTTTTATATTTATACTAAACTTTAATTTTTAACTTTAATCTCTTCACTTCTACTTACAATACTTTTTGAACTTCTTAAACATATTTGCAGGCCCCAAAGCAAACAATTAACATTGCTTCCTTCTTTTTTTTTCCTTTGTAATTCTGGCTTTGGTGCAGTTATTGTTTTATTTGATTTGTTTTCTCAATCTGTTGACCAGCTGGTTTAGATTTCAGAGAGGATTTCTATCAGCATCACAACCTACTCCTGCAGAGAAACTTTCCAAGATTATAGCCTTGCAGTCCAAATCATAAAAAAAAAATAGTTAATACGTTACTTCTAGCAAAGCTCCATCCATTTCTAAGCGGAAAAAAAAAAGTTAATTCTGTGCTTCATATATATTTCCTATATGTTCAGTAAAAAAAACCTCCATTCCAGTTCTCTGGACTTTAGTAAAGGCCACATTTTTAATGTCTTCATAAAATCTTCACATTTCTATACTCCCGTCTCTTTGAGCCCTTATTACTCTCTCCAGATTACAACTATAAGAGCAAACGACAGCAACTCTCCCCAACAACTTCTCTTGGCTATAACAAATTAGGAGCTCATTACCTGCTCACATCACCCAACACCCCTGTCAAGAGCTTAAGACTCAATTAATTTGTAATTATTCACGGGAAGATCCTTTAGTTGTTTTGTGGAAGGATCTTCTCCTGCCAAATATGTGCTTTTTTAACAAAGTAATAGACCTGCATTTTGTTCTCTATGCACAATGTTCCTTGTCAGTGCTGTCCTACATGAAGATGCAGAGATGTTGGCATTTTTGGGATGCTACTTTAATATAAGCATATATATATATAAGGGGGGGAGGGACTTAGTATATTCTTGGAGCCTGAAAACCCAGTGTTAGCACTTGACAAAACAAATGCAGACCTCTGATTCAGAAAAAAAAAATACAAACTTCTTCCCACCCTGATTTCACTATTTGGATTACTGCCTAGATAATTCATTTGAAAAACAAACCCAGCCTAGCAACTGTCTTGGAAATTGAGTAACCTCAGGTTCAACTGTATTAAAAAACTTCAGCTTCAGGCAAAACCGATAGAGCAGCTCATTCACAGTACTTTCATCAAGCCCTGGCCCTCATTTTATGTTTTTCTGATTACGCTTACATTGTGTTACCGTTTACCAGCAGCACTATTGTATTGTAATACACATTACCACTAGCTGACTCTGACTGTATGCATTTGTCTTGGTCAACAGCTAAAGACGCACAGCTCAATGCATATTCATTGCTGTATTGCCACTTCTCAGCTGTTAAAACAGCTGCATGAATCAGCAACAACTTTCACAACTTAAAATAGATGTAACTGCAGGATACTTGGGCTCAATGTACATTACGATGGTCATCGTGACCTGGTAGGAGCTAGGGAGGTGGGGCATTTAACCACAGTATTTCTCCACTCAAGCACAGCACTACCTTAAAGGTGTAAGCTACATTAGTATCTCAATTTGGAGTAGAAGTGTGCTTTTGTAATAAATCTCCTGATCATTGTCACTTATCACGCTTTGGTTCACATCACAGAGTGGTCTGGGGATGGATGAACCCAATTCTTTTTGATGGAGCTGAACCAGAACTACACCACTGACTTCCATCTGTTAGTGGCATGTGTTTCAGAGGACCAAACTACATCCACTGAAGAGTAAACCCTCTTGAAGGGCACATAGTGTGTTCTGGGTCTTCAGTACGAACTGGTTTGTTCTGCAGATCTGCTCCTCTGAGCCCATACTGAGTCCATACATTGCTAAATGTAGACAGAGCTGAAGACGGCTACCTGGCTTCTGGAGAGGAGCCAGCACTTCAGGCTAGCTTGTCTCAGATGCAGGAATTCATGATATAAACCTTGGAGTTGGATGCTTTCTATCCTTAGTGAACAAAAATGTTTCCTTTAAGTTAACAGCCTGACCCGTCTTTATGAAAAAGCTCATCTAGCAAACACGTCGTTTTCTGGTTGGAGGTCATTCTTTGCTCTCTTCCAGGTCCTCAGCTCAAAAAAACATCTACGAGCACATGCACAATTATTCAGTGAACAAACAAACTACATTTTGTTGTTAATCATTTGCTGTATGTAAAAACTCTAGAGTCACTCAAACATACTGTAGTTATTGTACTTCTAATATTTGTTAGTCCTTCCCCCGTTTGGTGCATGCACCACTGCTTATCATAGAAAAATCAAGTGTTACGCAATCCCTACATGTTTTTATCTGTCATCATGAGGTGCACAGATATGCATGTGTCACTGCCAGAAGAGGTCGGTATTTATTTTAAATTACTGCAATAATAAGGAAAGTGGTTGTATTAGGTTTACATTAAAATAATGTAATGCAAAACATTTAATAAGAAAAGGGATTCTTGAACAAATTGTTTGCTCAGTATGTTTCCAATACAACCATTCTACTGCTACTGCAATACCACAGTACATACTATTGTAGGCATTGTTGATAATACATAGAAACCACACATCACTTAGGAATTTCAGTACATATTTGCTGTTTTTCCTTAGTTGACAACACAATCCCTTTCTTCCCCTTACTTAAGTGCAAAAACAAACTCTACATGCGATCACTTACAGAGTTCCGCCTAATTATGTAACTGTACTAATTATACACACTTTTCAAATGGTGATAGACTTCAAAGTAGGTAAATTTTAAATTGTGCCATTAAGAAAATCTATTTGATGATGGAAATTTCTGTAATACCATCTTGCAATCTTCTACATCGTCATTTTGCTTTCAAGTCAGTATTAATTTAATGACAAGTAACAGCAGAGAATAATAGATTTAGGAAAGCAAACTGAAAGCTGTAAGATTTACAATGTGATATTAGTCAGCAGATGTTAACAAAAAGGATCAAAAACAATTTGGAAAAACAATGGATCTAAGGTAAACAACGAGTAGAAAGAAGTGCTGCATGATAAACATGAATACCAAACCTTTAGAAACCACTCTGTTAACAAAGATAAACACCTGCAAGCCTGACTTACCCCCATGTGTTCAGCTACTCCTGAGAAAATATATATGTCACTGAACACTTAATTTGCATGCACAGCTATCACACTGCTAAGAACAACTTGCAAATTAGTTACTTGCAGTTCATAGCACCTCTTTGCATGCAAACTAATGCCAACTGCATGCACGAACCAGCCCTACAACCGCACGCATAGCTCAGCCCACCGATGTCATACACACATCTATGAAACCAAACTGCCATGTAAGACTTCAGCACGTGCACCTCCTTTCGCACCTTGGTACACGCTTCTGACTGATATGCCCTCACTCTTCAAAACACAGTTCTTGAACACTAGACATTCATCCCAAACCCTGGTTCTTCAGCATAACTCTTTAGTGAAGTTACAGTACAAGTGAATGCATGAACGCTGATATTCTTTTAGCACTACCTAATATTTACTCTATCTATTGCCCTGATGTCCTAGGTGAGTAGTTTATTTCATACACGTTATAAGAATTTATACATCTCTGCTGTGGATTCTGGATCCTGCACTGTCAAGACCACTAGGCAGATCCGACAGCAATTACAATGCAGACACGCTACAGGACACTAATCCCTCTGTTTTGAGTTAAATAACAGCTTCTGTGGCAGGGAAGAGACAGAATCCATCTTCTCTGAAAAACAGGACTGTGTACAGAAAGGGAAATGGTCAAACTTCTATCACACAAATCCCAGTGTCAAAACAAATACTCTTACTAAGTCATGGGCTGCCACATTTAATCAAAGACATTTATGAAATGGCTTGATAGAAGCATCTTATAAGCAGCAGGTGGGTGATCCTGAGTTACCAACCTCAAATACTGATCCGGACTTTCCCTCAGTGTTCAAGAGCTCCTAGGTCGGAAATTTTGGCTACACTCTTCAGCATATGGGGTCTGGATACACTTGAATAGCTTTAAGATCACAGACTTTTGCTGTGGTGCACCCACGTAAAAAAAAAAACGAGACAAGATTAAAACTATCTCTGCAGAAGTAGCTACTTTTCTTTCTGCATAGTTATAAAATGACTCACACACACAAAAAGAAATTTCATAAAAGTCGGAATTCAAAGCAAATATGATGTAGAGTTCAGTATTGGAATAAGGAGTTTCAACAGCAACACGGAGACAATGCACAGCACAAAAAGTGATTTTGTGCTAGTAGTTGACATCTTTGACTTCCACTCATATTCCACACCCTGCCCAAAGTTACCTTCTGATATTCTTCCTTAGATCTCAAGGCAGCTTCCATCTGTTCCTGAGAAAACGTGTAGATGGCTGAGCGATACTGTGTGCCAAAGTCATTACCTTGTCGCATTCCTGGGGAGAGAGAAATCACAGCACACCATGAGGATCATCCTCCCTACCTGAGCGGGCTGCAGGCATAAATTCAACAGACCTAAGTTTAGGATGTCCCATACACCCGGAGTAGCACGGTCTCTTTCGTGCATACTCGGTAGGTATTTTTAGGAAGTCCAAGTCTTTCTTTGGTTACATAGTCCTGAAGAGATGCAATTCTGATATCTTTTAAATGACATGCAAATGAAATGTGAGCATTTTACATTTTGGTACACCACACAGTAGTCAAATACAGATGTTAAACCTTAAATAATCAAGCTGCAGATACTGTAATCCAGGTACTCTTAAAATACTTTTTTTGAACATTGTAAATGGCTACAAAAAAAGTTTATTTTATCAAGTGCTTGAACATTCTCTTGTGCTGGAGGAGTACATCTTAATGGGAGAAAGGTTCAAAGTACCCTTGGAGATAATCAGTTATTCTCCTCTATTCACAAAGCAATGATCTTGCTAAAAGACTAGGATGCATGTATTGTTGAATTAACTCAGGTTATTGCTTCCTACCATCATCACGACTAGTTATGGAGAGAAGGAATGAGTCTAATGAAGCTCTCAAATCTGAGCTCCAAAGAGGACTCCAATAGAGAATTATGCTAAGGAGAAGGTTTGGAGAAAGTCTGGCTGTGTTAGTACAGTTATAACGCGAGCAATGTTTACGAACAGCAACCCTTTTGTAATTTTTTTTGAGTTTGAGAGAAGCAGAAAACAAAAGTATTATGTAAACTCTACTAAATTCTATTCGCAACAACCTATGTGTGGATAATACAAATGGCAAAAGTATATAATACTGTTTAAATCTAACAGTAGGAAAACAAACCTCTAACTATACATACCCAGTAACTCCTTGAAATGATATCAGAAATAAGGATTAGCCCCTTTACTGCTGATCTATGTAATCCCTTCAAAAGACTGGTTGTATGAAGTTGCTCGTGTACGAAATTCCAAAACATGAGATGGATTCTACCTACAAAACTATAAAATAATGGGCCAAAGCAGAGGGAAGATCACTATCCCCTTAGGCGACCAGCGCAGACATGGTTTGGCATTATGCAGTCCTAGGCAGCCATGCTGGCCAACGGCATTGCTGGCTCTCATCGCTGCCATTCCCTCAGGCTGCAATACCGTAAGCCAGCTTTGCTGTGGGTCATTCCATAAAGTCCAACAACAGCCTTGGAGAGGAGCTTTAGCATTGAGAATGATCTGGAGGTGCAGTTTTGCCACTGTCATTGCAGTTTTGCAGTTTCTGTCTTTTGCAACCATGTTCCCAATTTTGCATTCTAGAATGGAACTTTTTGCTTTGCTGAAATAAAAGGTATTAATTTTGAGTTTGTCTGGTGTTTTATGTGAACTTGGACGAGTGAAAAAGCTGGAGTGACTGCAACCCAAGGCAAATTGAACATCATCAGTCTTTTGACTGCCAGTAGGCTACAGAAGCCCCTTTGAAGATTACCATCAACTCTCAGGACTATGGAGATGAAACGGAGAAAAACTGTAGGTCCTGATACCCCCCTAGCAAAGGGCAGAGGGTAGAGAAAGAGCCTGTGATACTGAGAGGAAAAGATGCCATCAACATAATACTACTCATTAAAACATGAGAGCTTTTATCCCTCTTGTACTTTCCAAGGAAACAAAAATGGTTTAAAGGATAGCACAATAAACAAATGAAATATGGCTGAAATATTTATGAACTAAAAGATACAGAAATGTTTTCAAAGAAGTGTTTGGACAAAAAGTCCATTCCAGTCACCACCAGTATACATGAGTGAATGTGATTCTGAAAAAATATTATGGAGTTTTCCGATTATTTGGGTTACTTTTTAACTGCTAAAATGTTACATTGTTACACATAAGAACAACAACTGCATTCTTCATCAATACTTAACAGTGTGGTCTGCAAGGCAGAGAGTTATTTCGCTCATTGCTTTGCAAGTTATTTTAGGGTGGTAGGGAGCTCTTGTAAAGCCAGTGCTACTGAACAGTTAGGCATAAAATGAATACAGGCCAGCAAAGCATTAGTTTTGCCAGGGAATGTTAATGCTGATTGATGTTCCAGCTTAAGTATTAGCATTCTACAAATCTATTTATTGCTTAACAAACCACTTAACAACTGACTAGGGAGTAGATTACAAAAATCTCTATAAATGGAGGATGACGATATAGCACGCCAGTTTCTAGCATGCACTTCAAGAGTATGAGTTAAGCATGAGCTCTTGTGGACAGTGCTCTGAGTGAGAAGATAAACAACATTATTTGATACATGCACGTGCCACAATTACATAGCAATAGAGAAGCCATCAGCTTAATGTATTGAACAGAAGTTTAAGAGGAGAACTGACTCTGATTTACAAATACATATATAAGAGAAATAACCTGAGAAATAAGGCTCTTCAGTCTTGCCAAAGTCACTTTACTAGATAGAGCAATTGAAAGCCAAAGTATACAAAATCCAGATGGGAAATAAGGCAACGTTCAAATAGTGAAGAGCATTTCTCACTGGATCAAAGCACCTGCAGTCACATCTCTTTCCTGAGGGCTTCACGTCAAGGATATACATTTTCTCCAAAGAGATATCAAAACTCAAAGAGCTGTACAAGGTCAGTGATGAAATCACACAGTTAAGGAGGAGGTCAGACTGTGCAGTAATAACAGCCTTTCCTAGTGCTTTTTTTTTTTAAACCCATCCACTAGCTATGAAGAAGATTGAACTAAGACTAAAGTGTAGCTTAAATGTGATCAATCATCTAAGCTAAAATGTAATTTATTTTTACTGGTTACTTAAATTAATTTGTACCTAAATCTCCTGCAATAAGTAGCTAATACATTGTACTAAGCCACAAAGACTACGATAATAAAATAAATAATAAATAAATAAATAATATAATAAAATAAATTAAATTCCATGTGTATAGACATAATCAATTGCCACTGTTGTTATTTGTAATGGACTTCACATGTACAAACTTACTTCTCAAAGGTCCATCACTGATTTTTTAAAACCCTCTGGCAAGTCTTACTTGTTGAGATTCCCTAACTCAATGAGCAACAAACAAGGTAAGAAATTCAATTTACTAAACAACTGTGGTAGGATGATTGAGCTTAACAATCTTGTCTTCGTCTGAAAGTAAGTCTATTAAATCAAAAATGATCTCTGCTTGGCTATCTAAAATTCTGCAATGTTATCTGTAGTTAACTTTCCTCCCTCTTCTGAAATGTCTTTCTTATTTTGTCTATCATGACACTCTGTCTCTCTCTGTTAACATAATACCACAGTTACATGCATTAGGCTTCAGATAGAATGAGAAAATATAATTAATAAAAATGGTAAATGTATTGAAAGATATTGTGTACTGCTAAATCAAAATCCATTGTTAAAAGGGATTGTCTACATTGCTGCCATTGATTCTAGCTACAGCAGATGCACATAAGACTCCAAAACAGTCTTCTGCTGAGACAAAAATGAACCTTTGATCATCTGTGCACCAAAATGGTTTCACTGAAGTCATAGAATCATAGAATGGTTTGGGTTGGACAGGATCTTAAAGATCATCTAGTTCCAGCGCCCCTGCCATGGGCAGGGACACCTTCCACTACATCAGGTTGCTTAAAGCTTCATTCAACCTGGCCTTCAACACTTCCAGGGATGGGGCATCCACAACTTCTCTGGGCAATCTGTTCCAGTGCCTTACCACCCTCTGAGTGAAGAAAGTCAGGAAATTTGTTCTAAGTTTATAACAATACAACTAAAAGCACAAATAATCTCTCACAGGCCTCAAGTCATTCACCTTGTCTACAAGGTCCTAGCTAATTAAAGAGGATTTAAACACATTTGTTAAGCACCCTTCAAAACCAGCATCTATTGCAAATTCTAATCAGACATTATAAAAACATTGAGATTTGGAAGTACTTTGAATGACCATTATTTTTGTTACATTTTCATAGAAAAATGAACAAAGCTCTTGACATTATGGATAAGATGGATTAAAGCAATATTTATTATCACTAAAGGATGAATTTCAGGATCAGAAAATTCTCTATAAAGAATTTTGTCAGAATAGAACATTCACACTTGAGAAGAAGAAAGTTGTTTTTTTTTCACCTGTGTCCAACTCCATTCCAGTGAATCAGGTTTGTATAAATCTTCACTACTGGAAGAAGGAATAATTCCTACAGAACATCATTTGCACACCTTCAGAACAGCTGGATCTTCTAGGCAGAGGAACGCTGATTGCCTACAACTGTTCTTCTCCAAGATGTCTTAAAGTCACTCTGTGCAAAATCTGCCAATTTAGGGACACAGTTTAAGGTGGATCCAGGAGATAGCTCTTCTCTCCAAGGATATATTATATGGGGAAATCTGTCAGTAGGGCCTGAACCTCCTTTTCATTCCAGGTTGAGATGATAACCAGGCTGCTTCTTAAAGGTGTTAACAAAACGTATTAACACTGAGGAATAGGGTCTCTGACAGGAAGAAATACCTTCACCATCTCTTTCTGAAACCTTGCAATGACAGAATGAAATAACACAGAAAAAGCCTCTGCAGCTGTAATGACCAGTAGATACACTTTGAGTGATGTCAAGTCCATTTCTCTCCAACAAGTAGTTTGACGAAAAGTTTCCAGAGGCCTGAAAGCAGAACATCATCTTACATGTCCCATCAGACCTGCTCCACTTTGTCACAAAGCACACCCAGACAACTTGTTCCCAGTGTTGATCAGAAGCTCTAGAACTAGAGAAAATTAGGCAGAGTCTCAAGGGCTACCCGAAATCCCTGCCATGATGCAGAGGAAGCTAAAGCCTAGGTGATTTACCTGATTTGTATCCAGTGGAAGAAGGTTCAGAGCAGAGGCAAGTCCTTCAGCTTCACATCAGGTTCTCCGGGATCCTGACACCAGAATCCCTTTGGCCAGCCCAGGGCTTGTAAGATCACCCAATTTCATCTGGCTGTACTTTACTAACATCAA